AAATCACATAACTAATCAGAGGGTTAAAAAATACACTACTTAAACCATACAGATTCTTTTCTTAGTATAGTAAGAAAGCTTCATTACCAGCCAGTGACTTTATTCAGTGTCATCAAGAATTAAAAAAATTGTTGTGTGGAAAGGAAATCTACCATGTGCAGAGCCACTTCAGTCCAGCACTGAGAACAATAAAATGGAAACTCTGGAAGTAGTTATGCTCAATGACTTCATCTAACATTTAGATGGATATATATAGCTCTCAAAATAAATTAACATTACACCCTTTATATTATTCCCATTTTATTTTTAAGTAGTTTATTGAGATGTCTTGTTTAGGAGCTTAGTCTTTGCTGATTAAAAAGAAAATTAAGATAAGGAAAATAGTCATCCAAAGGGAGATACAGAATTGGGTTGAACAGTGCTTAAGGGACACATTATTACCCAATTTAGAGCTCCAAAATATAATAACTCTCCAAACGGATTAAAAGTTTTGATATGAGAGCAGAAAAAGAAGAGACATAAGTGCCCTTAAACATTTTTTGTTAACTGCCCAAAGCCGGGTGGGGTGAACTTGATGAGAATGTATTACTGGCTGAATTCATTTGGAATGAATGAAAAGCATGCTTACAGACAACAAAATAGTGATCTAGTTGCTACTCTGTCCAGAGCCTTTTCATTTAAAATGCAGTGAATAAAAGGAGAGCTCTAGTCATCACAGCAAAATCCCGACACAGTTCAAACATTGTAATGATAGTTAATACTGAATTATCATGAAGGGTGTGGGAAGGTAATCCTGCTCCTCTATGACTTTATACTCAAGCCACTAGAATATCCAGATGACAGAATCAGCTGTTCTTTTTATTGTTAATTTTTTTGGGTATTTTGAGTTTGACATTTCTCCTCTCAAGTTTCCTGGTACTCAGCTATTCTGCTTCACATACCCTGAACTTCATTTCTGCAGTTGTATTCTCTTTTAAGATATCATATTTCCTGTAGAATTGAGGTCAGAAATTTATTATGTGATCCAGTGCTGCTGTTGTTACTTGAATTCTTACATTCTGCATTTTTTTTTCTTCTGGTACGTTATATCAGAACTTAAAATACCAGTCAGGTATTGGTAGAAAAAATATTATACATAACCTCTGTGTTTACCTACATCTCTGACCGCCAGAAATTTTCTACAATGGTAAAAGCCCATTTTTCTGCTGATCATTAAAAAAATAAATTTTAAAAAATCAAGTTTAATTTCTATAACCAACTATAACATGCATCAAGCATGCTACTCAATGCTTTTGGGTTTAGTACAAGTAGATTTTGCATGTGATAGGACAGCATGAAACTCTTGAGGTCAGTGGAACTATGATTTAAAATCCTCCAGTCAAATGTAATCGAATGGGTTTAAACACTTGTAATCTCTGAATAGTGACTGAAGTCCGTAACTCACTGTCCATACACAGTTCTTTGCAGGGTCTTACAGGAAGCTAATGCACAGGTTATATTACAAAGCCAAACACCACTGTTAAATGGCTTTGTTTTGAATGCCTGAATGTTGTTCCCCAGGAACAAATACCGCAGCATGCACAATCCATTCTCATCAATGAAAGTCTTATTAGGTTTCAATACAGAGCAAGAAGAGCATATTACTTAAGGACAGGATTTTGAGCAGTGCCTAAATCCCGATGATTTTCAATAAGAAAGCTCTGCTGCATATCCTCCTCAATCACAGCCATCAGCCACTGCAAAGTCACTGGCTGTTAAAACCTGCAGTGCCCTGGAAGAGACTGAAATAAAACACCTACTGTTTGCTACTAAATGCTTTGTAAAGCCATACAGAGAGTTGTATGCCTGACTGAAGAGACATACAAGAGGCATACAAAAGACAAGCACATGAAAAAAAGGAAGATCCTGCAGTGATGACAGTTAGCAATTACCTTCAAAACACGGGCTATAGACATCAGCCAGTGATATCAATCAGGTGTTGCAAACTGATGGATGATCAGCTTTAAATGCCTACACAGCTGCAGCTCTGTTTGAATCCTTGATTCTTCTATTACACAACTCATTTGTGTCTTTGTTTACCTCTTTTCCACAAAAAAAAAATAAAAAAGGGTTTAGCACATATGCTAGGACAAACAAATGCTAGGACAGAATTTCTGTAAAGCAACAGAAACAACTGCACAGGGACCTGCATTCAGAAGGGATGGCCTGGCAGCACTCTACCAGAACCATCCCCCTGTCATATGCCCAAAGCCATTGCCACACAATGCATATTTAACATCTTGTGTTCAAAATACATTCACCAAATTATTCTGTATCTTTCATATAGTGGTTGCTAGCTAAAAAAAATTAACACCCATTTGGAACAAACCTAACCTTTATGGACTCATAACTTGTAAAAGCCCTCATCCTAAATATCTCAGGTGAAATTAAATGGATATTTATATAAAAAGCCTTGCAAATTTCTTTCTTTATCAACTGCAAGTGCTGAAAGATATAATCTACTACACATAGACAGGCAAGCAAGTGATGTCTGAGTTTACCTGGTATTATGGAAGTCAAGACTGGCTTTCATGTGGTAAATTCTCAACACAATGAGGAATGAACTCAGTAAATGCCAAGTTTTATACTGACAGAGACAGTCAGGAAAAGAATTGAAAAGATATTAGCTCCTCCAAGTTTGGTATGGAACAACCTTCTTGTCTAAAAAACAGACTCGTTTTCATTTTCTGAACAGGAAGGAGGAAATGTGGAAACTACAATGATAGTTTTCAGGTCCTGCTCTGGATACCAAAACATCTCAATTTCACTCTGGGAAGCAGGAAACACTGTTTATATAAATACTAAGTGTTTCTTACACAGTATAGTAATGGTGTGAAGAGCAGTTCACAGAGAAATCATCCGCAGTATGAGCAGAAAAGCATCACAGGAGTGACTACAGCCAAGAGTCACAGATTTTTATTCTCAACTTCTGCTATGAGTTTGATTCCTCTCAACAGATAATTTATTTTTCATGGAAGATTTTGAAAATAAATCAAAGGCAAAGTGCTACAGATGCTAAAAGTAGTATTGATAAGATTTTCATCCAATCTATAAAATATTTATTTTCTTCATTTTGCTTTTTTACATGTGGAATATAGAAAGTATAATAGGTCATGTTTCCTCACTGCCTGAATTATGAAGATAAAAATCTGGGGTTTTTTGCCTCCAAGTTAGCACTTAACTTATTTCTATAATATTGAAGTGAAAATAATAATAAAAAAACCCAGTTTCACAATAAAATACAGTATTTATAGCAATTATCTGTAGTAAACTTTATATAAGAACATAGCTACAAAATCATGTTTGCAGCTGTAAGCAGGAAAGCTTCTTTAGTTTGTCATAAAAAGCACTTTTTTGGTATCCATTCTGTTTTATGAAAATAAGTGTAAAAAGAAATAGTTTCAGGCATACAAGGAAAACAAACATGATGCAAATCCATTATTCGATAATGATTGCCTCTCCTGTCTGTTTCCACGATGTAGTAAAAATTTGGTCATGGTGAATAATTTTTAGTGTTTCATCACAACCAGAAAGGATATGTAATTTTAGCTTCTTTAGCCTTAGGTTACTCAAAATGACTATCATATCCCACACTGAATTTATTTCAAAGTTTTAAAAATACTGCCTGCCCTTCCACTCTGAGTTCATGCATGTACAAACTACCATTAGATGTGCTTTTCTATTAGAAAAACAATTTAGCATTGTAATTGACCACAAGACTATCAACTTTTGGGGATTTACCCTCAGATGCATGTTTAAACATATCTTGCTGTTCTCCAAGATCAGAGTACAGTGACACTGCGGTGTCAGATTACTGTGGTGTATGTAGAAGAGGCACAGAGCAATACTGAAAGCAGTGCCGTACCTTTGTTGACTATGAGTGGTCAGTCTCAACAAAACATCTCAATATACTCCGTTACTGGTATAGGAAAAAAAGCTAAGTAGAATCATACGGTAATATTCACATGATATGACAGGTAAGGGAAAACATTGAAAAGATATAGATTATTCACTATAGATAAAAACAGGGAGTATATTCTCATGTGCATAGCATACATTAAGAGGCATGAGTTCTTCATTTCATATATGTACATCAATTAAAGACCTGCTTATGAAATAGTTATTATGGACCCAAAAGTCTACTGCTGTTCATTCTATTCACATGTAGTGTGAAAATATGCATTTTCTCTGTCTTGAAATCAGCCACAAAAAAAATGCCAGAGGGGAATGACAAGAAGAAAAACAATAAAACTAAACTTGTTAAAAAAAAAATAACACTTCTGCAAACAATTTTTTTCTCAAAAAGAAATTTTTACTATTTTACTAATTTACAATTTTTACTAATGCTTCTAGAAAGAAATTTGGCTTTTTTTTTCTGTAATCAGGAGGTTCTGTTGGAAGTGGTAAAACTGATTTAAACTAGGGCAGGTTTCATGCTAGATTTCCACATAATTTTGTTGAAGGATAAAATAAAATTTTCCTATGTATCTGGGTAAGTTAGCATTCCTGTCTTCATGTTCCATAGATAAATCTAGAAGAAACCATCAAGGTGGTAGAAAGGAAAAGTTGGATAATCAAAAAGCTTTCTGAAAAAAAGGAGAATTCAGAAACTCTGTGGTTCAACATCACCTTAAATGAATGTCAAACATCTCAGTAGTGGAACTTTGGAGGAAGTATATGAGCTGTCAATGTAAAGCATAGTATCTCTGCATCTCATCAGGAGGTAACAAGCCATCTCTACAGTAAACATCAAATGAAGCAAAACACAAGTCTTTGAACTCCTTTATATTTCAGGAAGAGACGTGTAACCATGAACTCAAGTTCTACCAGCCAAAAGTAACGGCATTTCAGTATTTGAGAGGTCAACTAGTTAACAAATCAGCAAGGTCAGGCACAATTTAAGCTACAAGAGAGGTTAAGTGTCAAGTTTGAAATGGATGTCTTTTCATTTTCTTAACTACCTTTTGGTCCTTTGAACAACTTGATCTCTACCACGGTCTCCAGTATAGGTCTTCTTCGACGAACATACAATCGTACTATGGAACCAGCCTCTTTTAGGGCCTCCACGGCTTTGCTGTGTGAGACTTCAGACACATCGACCTCGTTCACTCGCAAGATGCAATCGTTGACCCTAGGAGAAAAACAAAGAACCGTAGATACTGAATGCTTCAGCTGTTACTTTGGGCAGAACAGAGTTTTGTCAGTAGCACCATAAAATGAAGAATTCTTCACTGGGAAGTCTGCCAGACTTAATGCAATATGCTTCATAAGCAACGAGACAGAAATAGAACACTTAGTCCTTCCAAAAGACATCCCTGATTCAAACTGAAGTCTACCTAATCACTCACACCTACCATCCTCCTTCATAAATTGGGGTTAGATCCACTAGAGTAATAGAAATGAGTAATAAACAACCTGTCTTTACAGACTTCATTAAAACAGTTTTCACTAAACAATGTAATTGATTTAAAACACTCATGTTTGCATACTATTACTGCTGCAGTTGCTCTTAAGGGAATCTCATTTTAATGCAAAGAATTCTAGGTTGTCAAAGTAGAAATGCTATCCTACAAAAAGCAGACACTTTAAAAGGGAATGCTTCATGCTAAATAACTGAAGTTTCATTCTTTATGTTTTCAACGACTGAAGGCTACAAAATCTGCTGTATGGTAATAGCTTTTTTTTTTTTTTTTTTTCTTTTTTTCAGAATACTAATAAAATCCCCTCATAGCCTTACTTTGAGCATTTACTACATTGTCTGAGGATGAACATATAGTCACCCTCAAAATGTCCTGGTTAGCTGGAGTTGTGTTCTCCTTATCTGACAGATTTGTCCTAGTTGGAAAGGAGATCTAAAACTTGAGAGCAGTAAAATCCATCTCCAAAGCAGCAGGCTAATGACTTAACCACTGAGTCATCTTTTCTGTGCTAATGAGAGCAAGTGAGAAGAGCAAATTCCAAAGAACTAGATGAATTGAAACTCTATGGTTCTTGTGCAGTACATTTATTGCAAGATGCCTCTAAGTATTTTGGTTACAGAAGAAAAAGGCATATGTAAATGAATGCGTTGTTCTGCATGTTTGAAAGGACAATCAGTGAAGCAAATATGGGCGCTAAAAATATTACATTTCCGCTACGTTTCTATACAAAAAAAATCAACTATTGAATGTTACTCTTTAGAGCAAAAGAATACTTGAGCTGGTTAGCACATGGAGGAAGAATGAAACTTTACCAAAAATTTACCAGAACTCTTGAGAATTTAAGATGGATTTTTGTCATGTTCTTGTACTGCTGTTTAAAACAAAACCAAACCAAAACAACAAAAAGACTACAATTATTTGAAACTGGTCAAACTTGGAAAGGACACAAAAGGTACTTCCCTTCTAAGAAAAAGAACTATATTGCTAAGTTTCCAATTTTCATTCACTGGTAGGGTTTGGTGGTTTCCCCCAATGCCAGAAGTATTAATTTTCCAAATGTTTAACTGTGAGGTTTGTCTTTCAAATTAATATAAAAAATATAAAATATAAATTGCTCTTTTGCTTGTAAATAAATGATGAATACATTCTGCATGTATTCATATATGGTTTCCACTCAGAAAGATCATCTAAGAAGTAATCTTACTATATATCTGATTCTTTTCATTGGATGGTTATGAAGATGAAAAAGTGGTAAAAGATTGTAAAAACACTAAAAAGGAGAATTACATTTATTTTGATTTCATATACTCTGTGCCCTGCATTGATCAATCATAATACTAGTAGATAACTCTTTCTACTTAAAATCTGTCATAAATGCTCTAGTGATGCCCCCTGCTAAAGGAAAAACAATGTCTTTTGGAGAAATAATTAAACAACATAAATTAGCATTCCAAAATCAGTAAGACACACACCTCCATTGACTGAACAACAATGACCCTTTGGAAAAGGACATTTACACTCCCAACAGAAATTTTGCCTTATTTTCTTCTTTGAAACAGTAAGACTACCTTAAAAAAAAATTAAAAACAAAACAAACAAAAAGCAAAACCCAAAACCAACCAAACAACTACCCAAACAACAAAACAAGAAAACCCCAAACCACAGATTGATACTTCCAGTGTAGGATGAATGCAGTTAGAGAACACAGAGCGATCCAGCGGTAGATACACTTTCAGACAAAATTTGACTGGAGAGCTGAAGCACCTCTACCATGGCGACAGGCTGAGATAGCTGGCGTTGTTCAGCCTGGGGAAGGCTCCAGGGAGAGCTCAAAGTAGCCTCAGAGGGTAAAGGAGACTTCTGTCTCCTTCCTGGAGTCTGTACAAAGGCAGGTAGTAACAGGACAACGGGGGGATGACTTTAAACTGAAAAAGGGTAAGTTTAGATTAGATATTAGGAAGAAATTCTTCACCATGAGCAGGGTGAGGTACTGGCCCAGGTTGTCTAGAGAAGCTGTAGGTGTCTAGAGAAGCTGTAGGTGTCCAGTTCCTGGAAATGCTCAAGGCCAGGTTGCATGGGGCTTTGAGCAACCTGGTCTAGTGGAAGGTGCCACTGCCCGTGGTAGGGAATGTTGAACTAGATGATCTTTAAGGTCCCTTCCAATCCAAACCAATCTACGTGGCTGTGATTCTATATCCTTCCAAACATGTAGGTTTTTTTTCCTTCCTCATAAAAAAATTAAGTTTTTGGTTTTAATAAATAAATACAATATTAAAGAACATACATGCCCATACATGCCTGTGTGAACATACATATATCTACCTATAGAGTTCTGAGGGCTTTAAAAAACACCATTTTTGTACAGCATGCTGACCTAGTATTAGATCAAGAGAATACAATGATCTCAGAGGTGTACAAATATTCTTTGAGAATATTCATCTTTCTCAACTACAGGTCTGTGGTACAATGAAAATAAATAACTTAAGCTGGTGAGATGACTCTAACCTTAACCATAATAGCTAAATTATTATGTCAATTTTATCAATCTAGAAATATCTGAATATTTTTTAAAATTAAAAACAAAGTGCATGTGGAAGATAAAAACTAATTCTTATTCACTAAAAAGGAGACAACTTCAGAGAAGAGAGCAAAACAAGAAAGATGAAGAAATGTCTCAACACACAGACTATTATGTCATATTTTTCTTCTTAAATCTATGCAGAAGGTTTTCATGGCAAATGGCATAGTTATTATTATCTAAAGGCAGGTCTGCAACCATGGGCTTGGGATACTTTTTCCTTCCATTTAAACTTTCACAGTACAGTTCCTACTCTGTCAGAACTCTGCTTTTTTAGTAAACTATAAATGCTGCAACAACATAAAATAATAATAGCAAAAGTAAATCCAGTTTAGGAAAATTCTTACTTAGGGGCAAAATTATTCTTCTGCCCTTGCAAGCAGCTCTCCAGTGTATTTTCCTGGCTTTATATTCATGTGACAAGTATATGGTAAAAGTTTTTTTCCCATTTATCTCAAAATCTTCCTAAGACCTCTGGGTGGATATATCCTATATGTAGAACTTAGTTTCAGGTAGTTACAGACCTGTACAAAGGAGAAGATCTGCTTCATAATCCAAGATAGTACTACGCAGGTCCAACAAAAGAGATCCTTAAAGTTTCACCAATACAAACAGTAATTGTATTGTCATATAATCATAGAAATATTTGGGTTGGAAGGTACAAGTCCTATGAGGAGAGGCTGAGGGAGCTGGGGTTGTTTAGTCTGGAGAAGAGAAGGCTTAGAGGTGACCTCATCACTCTCTACAACTACCTGAAGGGAGGTTATAGCCAGGTGGGGGTTGGGCTCTTCTCCCAGACAACCAACAATAGGACAAGAGGACATGGGCTCAAGCTCTGCCAGGGGAGGTTTAGGTTAGATGTTAGGAAGAAATTCTTTACAGAGAGGGTAATCAGGCATTGGAATGACCTACCCAGAGAGGTGGTGGATTCACCATCCCTGGAGGTTTTTAAGCAGAGCTTGGATGTGGCCCTTAGTGCCATGATATAGTAATTGGAGTTGGATCAGGGGTTGGACTTGATGATCTTGGAGGTCTTTTCCAACCCAATCTATTCTATGATTCTATGATTCTATGACTCGTACATCCTTTTGGCCCTCCTCTGGGCTCACTCCAACAGGTATTTTGTTAGGGGTCTGAGAGCAGGACGCAGCACTTCAGGTAGAGTCTCACAAGAGCAGAGTGGATGGCAGAATCACCTCCCTTGACCTGTTGGCCACAATGCTTTTGATGCAGCCCAGGACACAGTTGGCTTTCTGGGCTGCCAAAGCACATTATCAGGTCACGTCAAGCTCCTCACCTATCAATACCCCCAAGTCACTTTTCTCAGGGCTGTTCTCATATATGTTTCTCCTCAGGGCTGCTGTCAAATATTATACATATTCAAGTCTGTAGAATCCTCAGTGAAGGTAACAGCCTAATTAAAAATAAGTTAAGCAGCTCTTCAGTGGCTCATCTAAGTTCTTTAACAAAATGGATGTACTCTACAAGACTTTTGTAGTATAAATTAGATATGAAGGACCCTAAATCGTAAACCACAGAAAACATGCAATAATAATGCCAAAGCAGCTACAACCGACAGAAGAAATGTGAGAGATACTTTGTTGTTAAGGAGGAAAGTCAGGGACTCAGGGATTTATGGATAGTTTTATAGCTATCTTCAAAGGAAATAAGGGCTTGGATTAAGGAAAAAAACCCTATTTTTTTTTTTTTTTTAGAGGTTTAAACTTGACTATCTTCACTTGAGTTTCATTTTTACTGTTTTCAAGAAATTGTGCAGACATCCTTGAGAAGCTGATAATTGCTTCAGTCAAGTTGTAAGTAAAGAAGACGAGTACAATCCTTAGGCACTCACTGGACATATAGTAGGCGACAACGGGTAATGATCATTCTGTTCACTTGCTCTGTGCAATATGGTGCCCTGAAGGGAAACCCAAAGCAGCACAGTATGGCAGCTAAGAGCCCCAGAGGACCAAATGTTTCTGCCAACACACATTACCCCACTTGCAGCTTATAGCAGAGCTAGTTAGAACCAACTACAGACTCAAGAACAAGGGAATAATCTGTACTCTGTGGATCAACATCATGACACTACATCCTGCAGTAATCCACAGGTCTTAGCTATGACCTACACAC